ATGAACTGTGACAACACATGTGACATTGTCTATAGGGAAACTCACCTGAGCCTGATAGTCCAAGACTTTTATCAGGAGCCAGCCATGCAGGCAACCTCTGGCTAGCATGTACAAAAATCCCAGATCCCAAGAAGGAAAGCAGGTGTTCAGCATAAACCACAGTGTTTGTAGGAACAGTTTAGGCACAGTGAGCCACTCATCATTTAGGGACTGGTGAGAACCCTCCCAAAATCTGAGTTCTCAGATGCCACCTGTATCAGTCAGCTCAGGCTGCCGTACAGGATACCATGGACTGGGCAGCTTAAACAACAGAAAGTTATTTTATCACAGTTCTGGAGGCTAGAAGTCCAAGGTCAAGGTGTCACCAGTGTTGGTTTCTGGGGAGAACTCTCTTCTTTGCTTATAGACAGCCATCTTCTTTTTAAAAAAAAAGATTTTATTGTGTACCTGGGTGATTCAGGCGGTTAGGTGTCTGCCTTTGGCTCGGGTCATGATCCCAGGGTCCTGAGATAGGGCCCCGAGTCCGGCTCCTTGCTCGGCCGGGGGCCTGCTTCTCCCTCTCCCTCTGCCTCTCCCCCTGCTTGTGAGAGAGAGAGAGCACAAGCAGGGGGAGAGGCAGAGGGAGAGGCAGACTCCCCGCTGAGCAGGGAGCCTGACATGGGGTTCAATCCAACGACCCCAAGGTCATGACCTGAGCCGAAGGCAGACAGTTAACTGAGCCACCCAGATGCCCCAAGTTTTTTTAATTTATTTAAGTAATCTCTACATCCAACATGGGGCTTGAACTCACAACCACAAGATCAAGAGTTGCACACTCTTCCGACTGAGCCAGCCAGGTGCCCCCGGAGAGATCTCTTCATATAAGGACACCAGTCCTATTGGATTAGAGCCCTGTTTATGACCTTATTTAACCTTAATTACCTCCTTAAAGGTTCCATCTCCAAATAAAGTCACATTGGGGGGTTAGGGCTTCAACATATGAATTTGGGCAGGGGGTTGGGGGACACAATTCAGTTCATAACACTAACCAAAGGTCAACCTTGCAAGCTGGTCTTTCTAAGGACAAGCAGTCTCTAGAGTCTCCAGACTGCTATGTTAACTCTTTCCTGTGGAGGCTCCACACCAGATTCTAGAAGCCTTGAAATGGTTGCCAATTACATTGCTCCCTGGGAGGAAGGGGGCCTCATTTGGTGCTTGTAATATAAAGATTTTTTAAAAAGTAATCTCTACACCCAGCGTGGGGCCCGAACTCACAACCCCAGGATCAAGAGTCGTGTGCTCCACCGACTGAGCCCGCCAGGCACCCTGGTGCTTGTAATCTAGATTACAATAGCTCTTTCCCCCTGTATTGAGAAAGTTCCTGCCACCTTGACCACAACTATGAGACCAGAAGTTGATGTGTGAGCAGAAGGCAGCCTTACATGGACACAACCTAACAACTCACCCCCAAAAAGGGACATGCGTATTGGGGTGGCAGTGATCAAAACCTCCCTTTGAGAAGTGACATGCAAGGGAGGCATGGTAGACAGCAGTTGATGACCACGAGCTTTGGAGGAAGACAGCGAAGTTCAAGCTGGATTGGACTTGTGGCTCTGAAGCTTTTATCAACATGACCCATGCTGCTATTTAATAAATATTTGAAGAAAGTTTTATTTTTTAAAAAGATTTTATTTTTTTTAAAGATTTTATTTATTTACTTGACAGAGAGAGAGAAAAAGAGAGAGGGAGCACAAGCAGGGGCAGTGGGAGAGGGAGAAGCAGGCTTCCTGGTGAGCAGGGAGCCAATGCGGGGCTCGATCCCAGGACCCTGGGATCATGACCTGAGCCGAAGGCAGACGCTTAATGACTGAGCCACCCAGGCGCCCCTAAAAGGATTTTATTTTTAAGTAACCTCCACACCCAATGTGGGGCTTGAACCTACAACCCTGAGTTCAAGAGTCACACGCTCTACTGAGTCAGGCTGGTGCTCCAATATTTGAAGAATGCTTTAAATGGATGTTGTTTACCCTTGGTGAAATTAACTTGTCAAGTCTCAGTTTCATCATCTGTAAAACTTACGATGATAATAATATTCTCACAAAATTGTTCAATACGTTCAAGGATTAAAGTGCTGCTCCTGATGCCTGACTCAAGGTATGTGCTGAAAAGAAAGACAACTAGCATTAAATATAAATAGGGGATGATGGCCAGTGAACTATGGGTCATACGAATGCTGGTAATTTCCCAATGATGCTGAGCCATCCTGGGGCTGCACTAAGCCACCAGCTTTGGAAGCAATGGAATTCCAAATGGCCGGGCGATGATGAGACAATAAGAACCTTCCCGACCTTACTGTATGTTCTCATGGATCCTTGTAACAAATCTCCAGCACTAACCATGTGTTTAGATTCGTAGTAGTTGGATTCTTGGAAGCCTAAAGAAAAGGAGCACATAAATAAACACTCAATGACACCATATCGGATGGCCAAAAAGCAAAAAATGACCTAGTTCAGAATTTAGCCCTGGAGAAACAGAATGACTCCAGAAGCACTTATAATGCTAAATGGGACAGTTCATAATAATGCTCCAACTGTCATAAATCTGTATGTACTGAGTAGTAGAATGGCAAGATGTAAAATGTGTAACTTCAGGAAATGCAAGAAATAAATGATGGAAACACAACAGCAGTAGGAGGCTTTATATTAATCAGCCTAGGATAGATGTAGTAGACACAGCAAAAATTGCACAATTAGGGGCACCTGGCTGGCTCTGTTGGAAGAAGATGCAACTCTTGATCTCGGGGTTGTGAGTTCAAGCCCCACGTTGGGTGTAAAGATTACTAAAATATATATGTGTGTGTGTCTTAGAGTCAGTGACTATGGAACATTAAAAATTATTGACCCTCATATTAGGCCACAAGGAAAAGTTCACTAAATTCCAGAAAAGAGAATGGATACACACCACGTTCTCTGACCATAGTGCAATCAACTTAGATTCTTTTTTAATAGCTCAGAAAAAAACTTTAAAAAATATCTCTCTTAAACAACTCTTGCACCAATGGAACAATACACCAAAATTTGCAAGAAATCTAGAATAATAAGATCTAAAATTTCTCTGTAATGAAAACATTACATATCCAAGTGTACAGGGTATATAGCTAAATGGGGTCCCAGAGCAAAATTCACAGTTTAAGATATACTATACAAGATATCGTTAAGAAATTTCTAAACGACTAAATACATCCAAACTAAAATCAATAGACAAGTGATAAGCTGGGAGAAACACTTGCAGTATGCGAAAAACCGCAAAAGGGTGCGATGTTGTGATTTATAAGGAATTTGGTCATTCTTTTCTCACAAACATTTGGTCTTTGTCCACAGTTCCTGAATCACAGCTCCCCAAAGCCTTGGAATTTCCTAAGTGGGGGAAGTGATAAATGTATCTTTTGTTATGTTAAGGAGGGGACTTTGGAAAACATCTTAGGATGGGGGCTGGTTGCTGGGGGAACCAACAGGTGTTTAGAGGGCTGGAAATTTCAGCCTCTTCCCCCCCCCCCCCCGACTTCCGGGGATGAGGAAGGAGCTGGAGATCGAGTGCAAGCACCAACATCAGAGCTTTAATCAATCATCTGTATGTAATGAGGTCTCCATAAAAACCTAAAAGAACGGGGTTCAGGGAGCTTCCGGGTTGGTGAACGCATGGAAATTTGGGGAGAGCGGCGTGCTCAGAAGGCTTGGAAGCTCTGACGCTTTCCCCCATACCTCGGCCCTATGTATCTCTAACATCCAGCTATTCCTGAGTTATATGCTTCCATAATAAACCAGTGATCTAGTGAGTAAAATCTTTCTCTGAGTTCTGTGAGCCGCTCTTGCAAATTAATGGAATCCAAGGAAGAGATGGTGGGATCCTCCGATTTGTAGCTGGTTGGTCAGAAGCACAGGTGATCCTGGACTTCTGACTGGTATCTGCCTTTGTGGTCGGGGTGCGGTCTCCTGGGATTGAGGCCTGAATCTGTGGACTCCGATGCTATTTCTGGGTAGATAGTGTCAAAATCGAGCTGAAATTGTGGACACTCAGCTGGTGTCCGGAGAATTGCCTGTTGGATGCATGCAGTGGATTTGGGTCCAACACCCAAAAGAATGAGCTGCCTTTGTTAATTTATAAATCAATAAGAAAAGACAAAAAGTGAATAGAGATGGACAAAAGATATGAATGGAAAGTTCACGAAAAAGGAGAATAGACAAAAACACATGAAAATATGCTCAATTTCATTCATAAGTGAAGAAACTCTAACCGATGCGATATTCTTTTTATTTGTCAGATTGATAAAAATGTATATGTTTCATAATATCCAGTGTAGACAAAGGTATGAGGAAACATGACGAGGATATCAGGCAGAAGTATAAACCTGAACAAGAGTTTTGGAGGAAGTGCTTGGAGGAAGTTTGGCAATATTTATCAAAGTTTTCTATTTGTATACATTATGATCCAGGAATTCCATTGCTAGGAAGTTACTTTTTATTTGATTTGATTTTGTTTATTTTATTTAAAAAATATTTTATTGATTTATTTGTCAGAGAAAGAGAGAGAGCGCAAGCAGGGTGAGCGGCAGGCAGAGGGAGAAGCAGGCTCCCCACGGAGCAAGGAGCCTGAGATCATGACCTGAGCTGAAGACAGATGGTTAACTGACTGAGCCACCCAGGCGCCCCGGAAGCTACTTTTTAAATTGACTTTTGAAAAAGTAGCCTTATATATGTCTTTAATACGAGGGTAAACCAAAATTATATACATAGCTGTTTTTTAGAAAGTCAATAAAGGGGCGGCTGGGTGGCTCAGTTGGTTAAGCATCTGCCTTTGGCTCAGGTCAGGATCCCAGGGTCCTGGGATGGAACTCGGCTTTGGGCTCCCTGCTCTGGGGGGAGCCTGCTTCCCCCTCTGCCTGCCGCTCCCCCTGCTTGTGCTCTCTCTCTTTCTCTCTATCAAATAAATAAAATCTTTAAAATAAATAAATAGTCAATAAAGTGCTCACTTGAGCAGCACATATACTAAAATTGGAACAATAGAGATTAGCGTGGCCCCTGAGCAATGAACACACACAAATTCATGAAGCATTTCATATATATTATGAAAAAGAAAACCACAGGCCCTAAATGGCGTCACTTATATTAAGGCCCCATCAGTAAACCAAGACTTCACACCTAACCTAACTGCAGTTTCAGCCCTCCCAAAATGTCCTTTAACAAACAGTCAACATGAGAATTTCCTGGTCAGCAATAGGAAATTTACTAATAGACCTCTTCCATTCCCCTTAGGCGGGTGACCTTGCCTGAAACAATGGTTCTTTGCTAATAATTTCCTTTTCTCCACTCCCTCTCTGCCTTCAAAAACCTTTCCTTTTCTGTAACCCTTTGGAGCTCCCCTCTACTTGCTAGACAGGATGCTGCCCAATTCATGAATCAATTAATAAAGCCAATTAGATCTTTAAAATGTACTCAGTTGAATTTTTGTTATTTAACAATATAAAAAAGTGATAAAAGAATTGAAAGTCTGTTAAAAAAGTAAGATAAAATGGCTTCTTATGGGATGACGGGAAAGACTGAAGAGGGAAGAGACAGTAGAAGGTAGATTTCTCTGAAATATACCATACTGCTGTTGAGTTTGGAACCATGTATATATAATAATCATATTATATAATTATATTCTATTTTACAAGGCTTGTCATACCCCAAAGCAAGGAAATTATTGAAGACTACTTCAGTCATATCAACCAAGTTTAAAAGGCTCCCAGCAGGGGTACCTGGGTTAAGCGCCCGACTCTGATTTCGGCTCAGGTCATGATCTCAGGGTCTTGTGATCAAGCCCCACGTGGGGCTGTGCACTCAGTGTGGAGTCTGCTTGAGATTCTCTCCCTCCCACTTCTTCTGACCCTCTCCCTGCTTGTGCTTGCTCTATCTCTCTCTAAAATAAATAAATAAAGTCTTGGGCGCCTGGGTGGCTCAGTTGGTTGAGCGACTGCCCTCGGCTCAGGTCATGATCCTGGGGACCCGGGATTGAGTCCCGCATCGGGCTCCCTGCTCAGCGGGGAGTCTGCTTCTCCCTCTGACCTTCCCTCTCGTGCTCTCTATCTCTCATTCTCTCTCTCTCAAATAAATAAATAAAATCTTTAATAAATAAATAAATAAATAAAGTCTTAAAAAATAAAAGTAAAAAACATAAAAGGCTCCCATTGGCTAAAGATGGGTCAGTCTGGGCACCAAAAAGAAAAATAACTGCAACGGATTGAAATACATCAACTAGCCACGAGATCATAATGATGCTAAAAAAATGCCATTGGCCACCTCTGGAGGATGTTAGTGAACCACTGTATTCTTCTTTTTTTAAAGATTTTATTTCTTTATTTGAGAGAGAGACAGAAACAGAGCATGAGCAGCGGGGAGGAGGCAGAGGGAGAGGGAGAAGCAGACTCCCTGCTGAGCAGGGAGCCAGACATGGGGCTCGATCCCAGGACCCTGAGATCATGACCAGAGCCGAAGGCAAATGCTCAACCGACTGAGCCACCCAGGCGCCCCCCACTGTATTATTCTGAAAGCTGGTAAATAAAGAGAGAAAAAGTACCTGACGATATTAAAGAATTATTGTTTAATTGTTGAGATAAGACAATGATGTATGGCTAACTTGTTCAAAAGAGTTATTGCTTATAGCAACATCTTGAAATGGTATCTGGGTTTGTTTCAAAGCAATACAATGGGGATGGAGAAGTCGGTCAAAGTATGAATGAAAGATTTTTTTAAAGATTTTATTTATTTATTTATTTATTTATTTATTTAAGAGTGAGCGAGCGGCAGGGGGGCAGCAGAGGGAGAAGGAAAGGGAGAGGCAGAGAATCTCAAGCAGACTCATGTGCCGAGTGTGGTGTCCCACATGGGGCTCAATCTCACCACCCCAAGATCATGATCTGAACCAAAATCAAGAGTCAGACACTCAGCCGACTGAGCCACCCAGGCGCCTCAGCATGGTGACTTAGAATTCTATGTCATTTCTCACAGAACTGAAAGGAATGTCTGGAGTCAGATAGCCTGGGTTCAAATCTCAGTTCTGCCATTTACTGTGTGGCTATGGGCAAGTTATTCAAACTCTCTGTGCTTCAGTTTCTTCATCTGCAAAATGGGAATTGTAGTACCTACCTCGTGGGTTGTTGTGAGGATTCATGAAATAACACGTTAAAAGTATTTACAACACAGAGTGCCTGGCACATCGTAGGCACTCGCTAAGCATTGGTTCTTGTGATTATACTTGTTGGGGTGTATCCTACAGGAAGACATGATGACGGATGAGGCAGGAGAAGTGGGTAGGATTGTAGGTTAAAGAAGGAGTGTGGCTTTTATGTGGCAGGAAGTCATTGAAGGGTTTTAAGCAACGCTCACAGCTAACACTGCGGATTGAGGACGGAAGCTTCATGTCTCACAAGTGGTTGCAACATGAATTTCCTACCTGTGCAATTAACTGCAAAATGCTTCAGGGCGAGTTGAAAACCTCCGACTGTGTTTACTAGAACCCTAGTCATTCCACATACATACAAAATGCAGTACCGCACTAATCCTAGTCTGTCTCAACTAGAAAAAGGAAAGCTAAACGTGGGCCAAGCTGCTATTTCCTTAACAGGAAGGTGTCATGGGCTTGGGAAATGACTTATAAGGGGTAACATGACTCAGGATCCTATGAAGCTGGGACTTGCCAAACTTTATTAAGTCACATTTTGTGCAAGCTATATGTATATTGATTACATAACTGGAGTATGTTCTAGGAGTGTGTTCAAAGCTAGGTCTGATTAAGAGCACTATGCTTCTAAAAGGCACAATTCCAGGGGCACCCGGCTGGCTCAGTCAGTGGAATGTGTGACTCTTGATCTCAGGGTCGTGAGTTCGAGCCCCATGCTGGGTGTAGAGATTACTTAAAAATAAAATCTTTAGGGGCACCTGGGCGGCTCAGTCGTTAGGCGTCTGCCTTTGGCTCAGGTCATGATCCCAGGGTCCTGAGATCGAGCCCCGCATCGGGCTCCCTGCTCAGCGGGACGCCTGCTTCTCCCTCTCCCACTCCCCCTGCTTGTGTTCCCTCTTTCGCTGTGTCTCTCTCCGGAAAGTAAATAAATAAAAATCTTTAAAAATTAAATAAAAAGCATAATTCCAGTCGTCAGTTTTTATTTTGGCAAATTAGAAACATACCACAAGGGGTGCCTGGCTAGCTCAGTAGGGAGACCGTGCGACTTTTGATCTCGGGCTTGTGGGTTCCAGCCCCACATTGGGTGTAGAGATTACTTAAATAAATAATTATTTTTTTTTTAAAAAAGAAAGAAACATTCCACAAGTTTAGAGAACAGCAAAAATGAACATTCTGGACCCATCACCCAACTCCAACCTGTCTGTACTCATGGCCAATCTTATTTCATCTATATCCCACCTACTATGCATGCCTCAGATTATTTTGAAGCAAATTCCAGACATCATATTATTTCATCTAGAATATGTCAGTATGTGTTTTTGAAAGATAAGGACTCTTTAGAAAACCTAACCTCAATACCATTTCTCATCTAAAAAAATAATAATTTGGGGAGCCTGGGTGGCTCAGTCTTAGGTTAAGTGTCACTATCTCATGGGTCCTGGGTTAGATCCCCAGGTTGGGCGTCCTGGTCAGCGTGGAGTCTGCTTCTCCCTCTCCCTCTGCCCCTCCCCCGCTTATGCTCTCTCTCTCTCTAATAAATAAAACCTCAAAAAATTAATAATAATTTGTAAATAGCATCAAATACACAGTCAGCCTTCACATTGCCCTGATTTTGTATATATATTAGGGAAGGCTTTCATAAGGATGCTGTTTACTGGGACACCTGGGTGGCTCAGTTGGTTAAGCATCTGCCTTCAGCTGAGGTCATGTTCCCCAGGTCCTGGAATCGAGTCCCGCATCAGGCTCCCTGCTCAACAGGGACCCTACTTCTCCCTCTGCCTGCCGCTCCCCCTACTTGTTCGAGAGCTCTCTCTGACAAATAAATAAAATCTTAAAAAAAAAAAGGATGCTGTGTACCTCCATAATTAGGCATGTAACTGTCAGTGATCGCTTTCTGGGATATTATCAATCACTGATGAGCAGAGGTTGGATCATTTATTCACAAAGGGTGGCAAAACGGAATGTTCTGATTCCCTTGTTCCTTCTTCTTTTATTAGCCCAAATATATCTATAAAGGAGAACTTCCCCTGGCCAACTCTTTGGTGTGTATAAGAAAAACAGGAGAGCTGCTCGATTCCTGCCTCCTCTTTACCAGTTTTCAGTATCAAGTGTTGTTTCCCTAAGCATCCTCTCAAGGAAAACCATGAGCTATTTTTATTTAAGGAGCTATTATTATTTATTCGTGAACTTGTGAGTTTCATATTGCTTTTAATTTTAATTCCAATAAATTAACATGCAGTGTTATAGTAGCTCCAGGCGTACAATATAGTGATTCAATAATTCCTATATATTTCTCAGTGCTCGTCAAGGTAAGTGTACTCTTTAAATTTCACCTATCCCCCACCCACCGCCCCTCTGGTAGCCATCTGTTTGCTCTCTAGAGTTAATTAAGAGTCTAACTTGTGGGTTTTATTTTTTAAATTTGTATTATTTTTAAAAATATTTTATTTGGGGCGCCTGGGTGGCTCAGTTGGTTAAGCGACTGCCTTCGGCTCAGGTCATGATCCTGGAGTCCCCGGATCGAGTCCCACATCGGGCTCCCTGCTCAGCGGGGAGTCTGCTTCTCCCTCTGACCCTCTTCCCTCTTGTGCTCTCTGTCTCTCATTCTCTCTCTCAAATAAATAAATAAAATCTTTAAAAAATATATTTTATTTATTTGATACAGAAAGAGAGAGAGAGCACAAGCAGGGGGAGAAGGAGGCTGAGCAGCTAGCCCCGATGTGGGACTCGATCCCAGGACCTGGGGATCATGACCTGAGCCCAAGGCAGGTGCTTAACCGACTGAGCCACCCAGGCGCCCCTATTTTATTTTTTTTTAAGATTTTATTTTTCGGACCAGCAGCGCCGGGGGCGGGCGAGTATAAATGGAGCGGTGGCTCCCCCGGCCGCCTCTCTCCGCCCTGGG